AGGGGTCTGTTGGTAATCCCCTTTATGTGTGCTGGGAGGCAGTTGAACGGTCTCGGGCCCCTGACACTTATTGTATGGTCTCTTAACGTGCTAGTGACACCCCTGCTTTTCCTTGGGGGGATGGTGCATCGTCTGCCAAGTCTTTTGCTTTCGTAGTGAGTGATTTTCGTGTGCAAGTTCGGTACTAGTCCCTCTAGGAATTTCCAGGTGTATATAATCATGTATCTCCCTCCTGCGTTCCAGGGAATACAGGTTTAGGAACCTCAAGCGAGATTGTCTTTTCTGCATGGGTACTCATTTTTCTAAGAATTGCAATGCATACAATTCATGGAATGATAAAGCTGAAAGATTGGAGGAACTTGACAGATGTATCAGTTGTTTAGGTAATCACAATGTAAAGGATTGCTATGCCAAATTAAACAACTGTTATCAATGTCACAAAGGAAGACACCATATAGTCATGTGTAAAGGTCTATATGATAATGTTGATAATAATGATAATGTTGACAATCCTGACACAACAGTAGCTAATGTAAAAATTGCTGTTAATGTTAATAAAGATGGTTTGCTGAAAGTAGCCCTTAACTGTGTTACAGGTAAAAATTTATGATAAAAGGCCATAAATAAAAAAAATGTAACTGCATTATTTAGATAAGTATCCAAACGTACTTTCATTAAACGTAAATGTTCTTGATGGTAAGAAAGCACAGATGGGGAGATCCCACAACTTTAAAATTATCTGGTTTTTCTCTCGGATAAAAATAAAAGGGTCAATTGTTGACACTGTTTATGTAACTGTCAGGTTGGGCAATGATAAACAACGTGTTAATGCAGTAATTGTAGATAGACTTCCAGAGAAAATAACTACTGTAGGGCTTAGAGTAAACTACAGAAAGACTCTCACATAATGTAGATTTTAGCACCTTCTGGTGTAAGTGATGATTCTGTAGGGCCCAATAAATATTTTTGATAGGTAGTGACTATTATTTACCTCCTTTGTAAAGGGTATATGGCAAAGAAATTGCGGTGTCACCTTTTTGAAGGACTGCAGGAGGCCATGCAATGTATGGTTTAGGATGGATTTCCTCGTAATACTAATCATGACTAGAGGAAATACAAATACCATAACTGTTGTGTCTACTTATGAGTCGTGCCCCCAGCATAATTCTTCCATAGGAGGATGGTGTTGAGCAGGCAAAATTGTGGGAATTAGACAGCATTGGAATAAATGTAAATGAAGAAAGTCCAGACGGATCTTTTACTTAAGGAGCAATACCTGAGAGATGTAAAATTTGAATCTGGGACAATATGGGTTATAACGACCCTTCCGTGGAGACTTGAACCATCCAGAATTGCCACTAATTACAGGGAATGGCATATGGACAATTAAAGGACTCAGCTCCGCGAACTGAAGTAATGACACCAGAATTGTTAAACTGCTATAATGATATTATTGCCTGAGCGTTAATTAATAAATTATAGAAGTGGTACCTCCTGAGCAAGACAAAATTTATGGTGCTATTTGCCACATCATGGGGTGAAGAGGTATTCTAAGACCTTCCTCTGAGAATGTGTTTAATTGTAGTGCCAGGAAGTTAACAAAAATGTACCTAGTTTAAATGACTGCTTGATGACAGGGTCCGTCGTTGATGAAAAAATTAGGAGATATCCTTATTAAATTTCAGGAGTGGTTGAAGCATTATGCCTTTACGGCTGACATAAGTAAAGCTTTCCTAAGATGTGGGTTTACAAGAGGCTGGACCGGGATTGTACCCGCTTCTTATGGCCTGAGAATCTAGTGACCCACCTTAGCCCTCTGAAAACCTTCGCTTTAGGAGCGTATTATTTTGGTGCTACATCGTCCCGATTCCTACTTCAAGCGATGATAAATGCACCACCTTAAACGTATGGGAAAGTCCATTGAGTAAAGTAATGAGCAAACAATTTTATGTGGACAATTTCTGGGTGTGACATCAAAAAACCTGAAGAAGAACTGTTAATGACTTATTGAGGGCTAAAAAAATAATGCAGAGTGCAAATATGCCTCTGAGGGAAAGGAATAGTAATTCGTCCAAATTAAAACGACAAAAACAGTAAAGATTACCCTGGAGATGGGATGTGCCAAAATGTAGCAAATGTGATTGGGATTAACTTGGGATATGAGAGAGATTTGTTAATGTTAAAACCTAATAATTCAGTATATGCCCAAATAAATATATTAACTAAGTGAGTCTTGCTTGCCTGAGTTTCCAAATGTTTTGATCACACTAGGTTTAGTGTCCACCCTTACTATAAGAGGGAAAATATTAATTCAGGAAGCATGGAAACTTAAATGTGCTTGGGAAATGAAATTTGCCTGAGGAATTTATTAACAGGTGGGAAGAATTAATTGGTGATTATGAAAAAATTCCATGTTTGGAGCGTTCCCACGCCAGGGTGGCCCAATCCAAATGGGGAGAAAAAAGAGGAGAAAAAGGATAGGGGGAAAAAATGTACTCCAATTTTTTGTGATGCTTCAAAATTGGCATATGGAGAGCAGTTGTAGTTGTTTACCTTCAATGTAATAGTGTTATCATTTCTCTTGTTATGTCTAAAGCTAAAGTGTCTCCAATTAAATCACCGACGTACTTTACCTCAGTTGGAATTCAGCCATTTATGTAGGTGTCAAATTAGTAATTATATAAGAAATCAGTTGCAGAGATAAATTTTTGACACTGGTAATTTGGTCTGATAATTGAGGTATCCTTCAATGGAATTCGTAATGGAAACAGTTTAAAATTGTATACGTACAAACAGAGTTGCTGAAATTAATCAGATGCAGAGAAAAGAGAAAGGGGGGTATAATGTTTGGGCCTGCATATGTTAACATTTAATTCATATACCTGGTGAGGAGAATCCAGCTGATTTCTTGTCTTGATGTTTACCTTAAAGCTAAATTTGTAAATGTTGTATATGGTTTTTTAAAGGCCGAGGGCTGGTTGGTAAATAAAGCTAATGGCCTGTACAAAGGCATATAATTACTCTTGTTGAAAATTCTGTGACCACAACTCCAATGTTTTCCTTTCCTAGCCATTGATTATAAAGGTATTCTTTACCCAAAACTAATCAATGTAACTAAGTTGGTGTTTAAATTTCTAAACAAGATGAATATATATCATGGCAAGTTTTCAATCCTCTTGAATATTGGACTATAAAGAGGGTTCAGAAGAAAGAAAATCTATGGAAATGAGATTAAAATTGATGATGGAAAGAAAAATTGTGAAAGGTTCCATAATAGAGAAATTGGGGCTGTATTTACAGAACAATGTAATGAGGTGCAGAGTTTAGGTTACAATAAAGCTGAAATTGGGTGATATGCTAAAACACCCTATCTTACTGCCCAAACTCATATCTAACAAATTTATTGTTCTAAATGCCCATAAAAATTGTAATGCATGGTGGGCGGTAAAATACCTTAAATTGTATTAGGGGATACTTTCTGGATTCCACAAGGACGCAAAGTGTAAATGAGGAGTGTGATTAAAATCTTGGTGTAATATGGTTGCTCGTGTGGATGCCAGATCCTATATGTACCCAGGTTCTCCACCATTGTCAAATGAGCAATTTGAGTCGTTTAGCAACGAACTCTGGCCGGCTGCAGTATGGAAATACTGTATATTATTTTCGGAAATACGGCAATTTATAGGTAAATAGATGCCCTATATTGTATTTTTAAAAGAAGTATGTTATCGAAAATGGGAAACCTGCAGCTGGGAAGGTCAGTCGCCATTTTGTTTGAATTGAATAACACGTTGTGAATAATGGGAAGAATTTTTCGTGCTCTAGAGGTTAAAATCGGGCTGACACCTCTCAAATAGGAGGCAAAATTGTTGGATGTGCATTCCTGCATAATTTGAGATATCAGGCGACTGGACAAGACAGCTCCAGGAACCCCAGCTAAGTCATGTCTATATTATGTTTATAGTTCTGGCCAGTATTATTATTATAAATGTAGACAGGGGGGTTTTCTGAGTATGATACACTTTAATCTCCAGTCAAATTGGTGAGTGTTATGATTTTAAGATATTCTCCTTCTGTTATGTAAATGTGTGTATATATAATCCTTTTTTAATTTTAATATAAAGTCCACAAATTTATATATTTACCAGAATACCTGGTGATGTATTTTTCATTTGTAATTAATAGGTCCAGAGCAACTTGTGGATATGACAGTGGTACGTATCGAAGGGGGACATTTTTTGCGACCTAGGTGTCCCAAATTCCTACTTGTCTAACTGATAAATAATAATTATCTATGTTCATTTACTGTTATGTATATAATGATACATTCAGATAAATGCAATTTTCCACAATTATTATTATTATTATTATTATTATTATTATTATTATTATTATTATTATTATTATAACAAGGGGCTTTCTATATCGTAGTATGTCATGGATGTCAGCTAGGACTGTATACCTTGTACATGTATTTGCAGAAATAAAGATATTTACTTATATTTAAGGGGCCCCCGACCAGTAGGCCACAAGCTATCATTACGGGAAGATTTTAAATACCTTTGTTAGTTCTCTTTATAGATGAGCTTAATACATAAAATGTAAAATTTATGGATAAAGACAGGTCCACAATCTAAAGAGCTGCATCTTAGATCCAAACATTTACAGATATGTCCAAATAAAACTACGCAAAATGACAAATCACACTGTTAAGTCTTTATATTAACTTGGTAAATTTTGATGAGATTGTAATCTATGTAATTACGGAATAACTTCGGTGTTAATGAGAAACTATTTGAAATCTGGAGATTGTCTCCACATGTTGCATTGATTTGATAAGTAATAACTATATGATGATTTATATATAAAACGACTGTAATACCCAAAAGATATAATTATTCCTAATGGGGTGTGAGAATTCTGTTATTTTTTTACACTACTTCCCACAAGATGAGCAACGAGTACACAAACTAGGCGCTCAGGCACCACACTTAAATTACCTTCAGGATCTCCTGGTCTTGGGAAGGGAGTGAGGCATGACAGAGAGCATAGTCCCGCACCATCTGCGCCTCTTCCCTCCGCCACTTGTTACACCCGCCCCACATCCCTGCCAACATGGGCACCCTGTGGAAGATGTTGTCACGCATCACATGGTAACACTGTGGGAGGAGAAAGTCACTGTGACTGAAGATGTATAATTCTTGCAATAAGATCACATAATATTTAAAATATAAGATTTTTTGTATCAGGAGAAAATAAAATTTCTCGTGGCGAGGGTCTCATCTATATAATGAATCAAGTCAGTGGAGCTTTGGTGACTGTTCTTCTTCAAGATTTCTCCTCCCGATGACTGCATGAATTGTAGTGGGCTGTCATCAGTTTATTTGTTATATACAGCCGTGGGTTGGTTGGCAATGCACTCAAGCTCATATTGAGTATCCGTGGCAAGAGCCTCGGCAAGGATGGAAATGTTGGGCATATTTCCTGGAGAGTGGTAGTACACATTAGAAAATGGCTGTGCTTTTAAATGAGCTAAGTAGGATAACAGCTCGTAGCCTGTAAAACTGACCTGTGTAAAAAAATGAATCAGTAGTGTAAAATGCGGCTGGGGGGTCCCTTCCGGAAAAAGGCATGCGGCTGGAGGGTCCCTTCCGGTTTAGGCCTTCTACAGGGAGGTCCCTTCCGGTCTAGGACCAGCAGCTGGAGGGTCACCTTTTCACACCTAGGTGTTACTTCCGGTTTTGACCATGACCTCGCCCTCGAGACTACCTCACCCTTGACCCCCCAACCAATACCCCACCCCCACGGGCCCCCCCCCCCTTCGCGACCCCGCCGTAGCGCCGCGCGCCCGCCCGCGCGCCCGCCGCGCGCCCCGCCCCGGCCGCCCGCGGCCCCCCGCACCCCCGCGCCCCCCCCCCGCCCCCCGCGCGCCCGCGCGCCCCGCCCCACCCGCGCGCCCGCCGCGCCTTCTGCTGCGCCCTTTTGCAGCGTCGTCCGGATCGCCCCGCGCCCCGAATTTTTTTTTCTTATGACTCCCCGGGTCAAGT